AACGGGTCATTACATCAGGTCATCAGTAGACAGGTACCGATGCCAACTTTTCAGAAGATGGAGCGCATTCAAGACTCATCATATTATTTTGATTCACATTATATTTTTGGTGTCTAAAACTGTACAGAACACGCTTGTATTAAAATTTTATATTTAATGCAATGGATGATGTTGTTTGCTTATTTACAATTACTGTGTTGTGATACTTTACATGACGTCCTCCGCCCCAGAACGTTTCTGCCATTCTTGGTTTTGGGGTGTGACAGTGCTCCCCATGACCCTCTGTCCGACTTCACCCCAACATATCAGGGTCCTGCACTTCCTTCCGTACAACATCTCAAAGGGAGGACGATCGATACTCGCATGGTAGCTGTTGTTGTAGGAGAACTCAGCTAATGGAAGATAGGTATCCCAGCTACCACCGAAGTCCAGAACACATGCCTGCAGTTAATCCTCTAGGGTTTGGAGGTGAATCGTACATCTCTGTCTGAAATCACAAAGACTAGCACTCCGTGTCGAGCTACTACCTCTCGGATGGAAACATCGGCTAGCTTCTCGGCTGAGATGCTCCCCTAGATTGGTTTGAAATGGGCACTCTTGGTCAACCGATCCACAATGACCCATATCAAATCTACTCCTCGCGCGGTCATGGGAAGCTTCGTGATGAAATCCATAGTGATATCTTCCCATTTCCACAGCGAAATATCCAATGGCTGGGTCTTGTCGTGAGGCCTTTGGTGTAGGGATGAAAGTGGGTCCAAACCCAGACCAGATGGACCTGGACCCGGAAAACTAGGAACCATTTAACGGGATTTTGTAGAACCGGAAACCGGACCAGTATATAGGAACCGGATCTGGTTCGGATCCGGATACGATTCCGGGTAAAGTTGGTCTAGAACCGGAAAACCCGAAAACATCAAAATGGGTAGGTTGGAACCGAATAAAGTGGGTTTAAACCGGAAAAACTGGAATTTTTTGGTAATTACTTACTACTTAGTGGGTTCAACTTTGAAAATTTTCATATTGATATCCCGACTTTGGGGGATTGTAACTCATTGAATATGAAACCAAAATTAACAAAATTATAGTAAAAAATCATGTACAAACTCTAAAATTCACTGTGGAAAAAAAAACTTCATGTCAATCCAACTTTAAACGAATGTGATATGCATGTGTTAACATTTTCACATAATACAAAGTACAAAAACAAATAGCTGAAAAGTTGAAAATTTTCAGTTTTGATATCCCGACATCGGACGACTGTAAATCATTGAATGTTAAACTAAAAATGACAAAATTGTAGTCTAAAATTATGTATAAACTGTAAACTACAAGTTGGAAAAAACCACATGTCAATCCGAATTCAAACGAATTAGATATGCATGTTTTAAAACTTTCACCAAATACAAAAAAAACTGAAAAATAAAAAATTTCCAGCTTTGATATATCAACTTTGGGGGACTGTAATGAATATAAAACTGAAAATAGCAAATTTATAGTCTAAAATCATGTATAAACTCTAAACTACATGTTGGAAAAAACCTTATGTCAATCAGAGTTGAAACAAATGAGATATGCATCTTTTAAACGTTTCAAAAAAAACTGGTTCCGTCCGTAAAAGTGGTTTTGGTTCCAAAAACCGGTTTCGGTTTTTAGAACCGATTTACCCGGACCTGATGGACCCAAACCCGGATTACCTAGAACCCGGAAAAAACCAATTTTCGAACCCAGAACCGGAACCGGTTCTATATATTCCGGTTCTAACGGTTCTGGTTCCGTTCCGATTCCGGTTCCGGTCCGGTTTTCCAATTCTAAATCTCATCCCTACTCTGGTGCTTGGCCTTGACCTTCCTGCACGTCATGCATCTTTCTACGAACCAAGCTACATCCCTCTTCATGCAGGGACACCAATAATCAAGACGAAGATCCCTATACATCTTCGTCGCCACGGGATGGATAGAAAACCTGGATTTGTGCGCCTCCTCCATCAATACCTGGCGCACACCTCCATGATATGGGACCCATACTCTACGGTGTAGTGTCAAGAATCCATGAATGTCATAATCGAAGGAGGAAACCTGGCCCATAATATGCTCACTCTTACGATGTTCCTCCTTCATAGCCTCCTGTTGGGCCTCTCAAATCCGCTCCAACAGTGGAGTCCCCACTGTCATTTGCAGGCAGATGTCTCTGATCGGCGCTGCCTTGCGGCTAAGTGCATCGGCCACGACATTGGCCTTCCCCGGGTGGTATAGGATCTCACAATCATAATCCTTCACCACGTCCAACCACCGATGTTGCCTCATATTCAGATTCGGCTGATCCATGAGGTACCTTAAATTCTTGTGGTCTGTGTAAATGGTACAGTAGACACCATAGAGGTAATGATGCCAAATCTTGAGGTCGAAAACAACTGCCCCCAACTCCAAGTCACGCGTCGGATAGTTTGCCTCATGAGGCTTCAGCTGCCTCGAAGCGTAGGCGCTAACATGCCTCGTCTGCATCAATACTGCGCTCAAAATCGAGATGGATGCATCACACTACACAACAAAAATCCTCCACGCCCTCTGGCAGGGCTAAGATTGATGCCTCACACAATCTCTGTCTCAGCTGCTCAGGCCCCAAGCGAAATACAATGGCTTTGTTCATTAGTCGAGTCAAGTGAACAACTATTTTGGAGAAATCCTGGATGAATCTCCGATAGTAGCCGACTAATCCCAAGAAACTCTGAATCTCAGATGGAGACTTCGGAACCTCCCATCTCATCACAGCCTCCACTTTGGCCGGGTCGACCAGAATACCGTTTTGGTTGACAAGGTGCCCAAGAAACTGCACCTCACGCAACCAGAACTCACACACTTAGAGAACTTGGCGTACAATCTCTCCCTCCTCATAGTATCCAAAAACTCTCGCAGATGCTCCTCATGTTGTTCCTGCATCTTGGAGTAGACCAAAATGTCATCAATAAAAACTATCACCGACCGATCCAGCATCGCTCTGCACACGCGGTTCATGAGATCCATGAACACGGAAGGAGCTTTGATGAACCTGAAGGGCATCACCACGACTTCGTAGTGGCCATATATCATATCATAAACATATTGTCAGGCATATCTGGGGTGCCGACCTACCTTTCGTTCCTAACAACCGAACTTAGGGACTAGTCCCCTCCTACTACCACTATCACATACAACATAATCATGCTAGCACATAAACATATCAGGTAGTAGTAAACCATACATTTATCACAAAGACAATCATCTCAACTATAATCAACTACTAGTGAGCCAGCCTTGGTGCCTTAGACCCAATTCTACTGAAAGGTAACTCACCTCGATGTCGTGTAGTATTCGCACAGTCCTTGGTACAGGTATCAACTCTTCTCAACTCCTCCATCCCTACACAACAACCCTTCTTGATTACTAATTTGTACCCCCAACCCTTCTCATCAAGGGTTGACTCTAGTCCGGGTCAAATTCAAAGTCAAAGTCAACTTCGGTCAAACTCAACCTCCAGTTGACTTGACTCGCCGAGTTGCTCCACCAACTCGTCGAGTCCATATTCTTTCGAAATGATACAACCCCTGACTCTACTCGTCGAGTCTAGCAAGAACTCGATGAGTCCTCCTTCAACCATAATATAGGGACCATCTTCAACTGACTCGTCGAGTTCATCCTTCAACTCGTCGAGTTCATCTTCATCATGTGCATGTGCCCAGTCTATGACTCGCCGAGTTATATGAAAAACTCGTCGAGTCCGTCTTCATGGGTTGGAAGATTGCCTTGGACTCGCCAAGTCCGTTCATACACTCGCCGAGTCCCATGATTTCCAGGTCCATAATCACGTCCATCTTGTTGAGTCCTTTTCTGGACTCAACCAAATTCCTAAGATACATAAAAGTTTGGGTAACCAATACCCGACTCGCCGAGTCCCGAGAACGACTCGTCGAGTCCCCAAAAGTCCATGTCTATAAACTTGATTTCTGTTAAGCTTATCTCATCCAAAGGGTAGATCTGACCTCCTAGGGTCGATATACCACGTAAAGTCACGAACTTTACGTCCATGCATGGGTCTTTAAGCTCAAAAGACCCAAAAATGAGATCTACAAGGTGCATGGGGCTCTCATGGCCATAATGTTGGCACCTTTATGCCATGAGAACCCTCCAAGGTTCAAGATCTGAAGCCCTTACTCTTCATTACACTCTGAAACTCAAAATGGCTTAGAAATGCCCCAAAGATGTCAAGTTTCAAGCACTAAATTGGATCTAACAAGTAAGAAGTCAAGGTAGGAGCTTTTTACCTCAAACAAGCTAGAAATGCAATCAAATATGTGGATGTACTAACTTCCTATTGAACCTTCAAGTCTTTCCTTCCTTCTTCAAACTTCAAACACAAAGAATGGCGCCAAGTAGCTTCAAGAACACTCAAAAGTTGGCTAGGGTTTCGTGAACAGGGTCTGGAGGTGATGGAGGCTGGGGTGGAGGCCTCATAAAGTGTTTAAATAGGGTGCAAACCCTAAAATTAGGGTTTTGTCTAGACAGCTCCTACTCGTCGAGTCGGTCTCCCGACTCGTCGAGTAGGTCACTACACCTCCGGGTCCAAATCCGATTCTACTCGACGAATTGGGTCTCCAACTCGTCGAGTCCCAAGTCAAAACATAATAATTAATTAAATTAAAATACGTACCAGGAACCGGGTACTACAAAAGGCCCCTTGGACAATCAGCAGCACAAAAAAAGTGCAACTAATAACGCTCCCACTAAAGTTCTTTAGTGGCACTTTTTAGTTGTGTCGATGCAGCCTTATTGGGTTATGTCATTAAAAAAGTTGTAGGTTTTTAGTGGCACTATTTTTATGCCACTATTTAACTGCTAAAATAAATATTATTTTTATGCTTTTAATGACAAATTTTGTAAGACAAAAAAATTATTTTAACAAGTTAGATCTGATTTTTTTATTAAATTTAAAGATAATATAAAATAATAATAAGACAGTTAAGCTAATAAATGGAAACATAATATCATTACGTCAATTTGAACTTGTTTAACAACAATATTTTCAATATATTTAAAATAAAATCATCTTCTCAAAAGTTTAATAAGTAAAAATGTTGTGTTAGTACTTAAACCATAATACTATTGAACTAGATAATTGTTGGGGAAGAAACGCGAAGCTTCATTGACTTCGAACTTTGTATAATCGGTCTTCTTATCTACCCAACTTCTGAAAAATTACCTATCATATAACCATAATACATTATATAAAAACATTTTTAAATATTACTATTAAACATGACTTAAAAAGAAGTGTTGGTCCTTAACATGATATAGAAACAAGACATGAAAATTACAAAAATGCCTACCTCCCCTTCCTTAGCCTACTTTGAAACAAATTTTGACAACTCCCTGTAACCAGAAACAGGTTGAATTATATATATTTTGAAACATATAGTCAAGGCATAGACTAATTTGTGTAGTAAAATATTATACAATCAACCTGGAAATGAAAATGGAAAGTACCAACTCGTATAAAAAATACATAAAGTTATGAAATTAAACAAAATGCACATCAATGTTACCTATGATTTTAACAAAACATATTAAAGGTTTAGAATGTTGCAATGTCCTCAACTCTTTTGGTTCATCTTCTGTTTCACATAATGGAAAAAAGTGTTAGCCATCTTAGAAATAAGATAAATAAATAAAAAAAGAGCTGATTATAGCAACTTATTTACGGGTGTGAAAAAAAACCCGAAACCGAATAAAAAGAGGATTAACTGGTTCGGGTTATTCGGTTTTTGGGTGTCTTATTCGGTTAACCTAAAACCGTATAAACCTAACCAGTTCGTTCAATTGTTTTCAGTTAAACCGATTAACACCAATAAAAAATTTCTAAATGGCAATACTTGAATCATTATGTATTTATGTAATGGGTTTTTTAGTTAATAAGTTTTCTAGACAAGAATCTTATTCTTATCTTTACATCCAAGTTACCACATATATAATAAAAAAACAAATTATAAAACACATGCATGTTACAAGACCAAGTATTCAACACACATATTCCTAAAAGCTTTATGTAACTTAACAATTATTTTATCATCTTCCAGTTTCACATTACCTCTTTGAAGTATCCTCTCAAGTAATTTATCCATATCATCCAACAATTTTTTTCGCACCTCAACAACCTTCTGGTAAATCAATAAGCCAACAATATTAGTCGTCTAAATTCAAAATATTTATGAAATATAATTTAGATAGTTAATTATTGGGCCCTTAATTATTCGATGACGTTGTCATGTAAATATATAGATTGTACCTGTATTTTTTGGTAAATATCGCAATTACCTTATCTATTAAGCTTGAACCTATTTATTTAATGTGTCAAATTTGGAGGTTTGTTTATGTTTGCATGATGTGGAAAAATAAGTTTAAACATTTGTTCTCATTACACTTCGTGAACCAGCCTCAACCTTATGGGAATTGCAAAAAGCTAGAGCTACTGATTTTGAGTAACTATTAATGACAAATAAGCTACAGAGACATTAAAAAAGGCTAACTTGATGAAAAACAAGTGGTGTTTGTTTCAGGAATTTCGTCGAGCACTTGATGTGCGTCTCTAAACATGAAAGATGTTCCATTAATATTGAAAAAGAAATGTCAAAAACTTCTGAACAACAACAAATTACAACAATTTATCAACAAACTAACAAATTTTCACATCTAAAATATGTAAATCAGGTACAAAAACCAATAGCTAGGAAGCATACCTTTTGAAACAATGAATCCACCTGTTGAGATATAGTTAATTTTGGGGAAGAAAAGTAGAAGACGCCAGAACCTCAAAAAGAAGAATCAAAATATGTTAGTCAATTACTTATAATTGTGCGAATACAATAGGATCGGAAACCACAAAAAGAAAAGCAGTAAATAAAGAAACCAAGTAATCAAATTAGATTCGGTAATCATACTTTTCGGGGTTAGAGAACAAGATGAAATAGATGGTGAGATATAGAGAGCTTCAATCGGCAGAGAGATACCGAGACGTATTAAATCTGCAATGAACTTCAACCAGGGAGATGTTGAGATTTAACCTGCAATGAGCGACGAAATGAGGCATAGGAGCGACAAAGGTTTGCAAATTGGAAGGGATTTTGATTTAGGGGATCCGATATTTCAAATGTGTTTTGAGTTTTGACCTAGGAGAGAAAAGGGTCGGTGCAAAGCTTTTAATGTTGGGGGAAATAATGAGCGGGTAAAAAAAAATTAGAAGGAAACAAACAGCATGCAAAGTAAATTAGAATTTTCAATATCAAACAGTGGCATATAAAAAAATGTGTCACTAAAAACCTAATATAGTGTCACAAAACTAAATATGTCACTAAATTTAATATTATTTGTAGTGATCGGTATAGATCTAGGCTCTGCAACAGGGCTTCGATCTGAGTTTTCCACCCAAGGTAATTTGTGGATGTTAATTTCAGAGTTGTTGGGAAATTGAGGAGGAGTAATCATTGGTATAGATGTTTTGTTTTAAAGAGGATGGGGAGGAATTTGTAGGTGTGATGTGTGCAGAGCCAAGCTCTCATACCATATAAAGATTACAGAAGAGAAAGAAGATGAATATAAATTATAAGCTCTGATACCATATAAAGATTACATAAGAGAAAAAAGATGAATAGAAATTATATCTGTATTGATTTGCAATAATTGCAGAGAATTACAATTAGGGTGTACATATTGAAAGAAGCGTCTAACTAATGGAAATATTTAGAGAAACAATATTTGACAAAGTAATGTACATGTCGGCTAAATATATGGATCTAAATGTGGATAGATATAACCGAGTTATATCTTAATACTTCACACCGCATCCATGTCAAATATAGTCCTCTCTCTCTCTCTCTCTCTCTCTCTCTCTCTCTCTCCAAACACACAAGACACACAACACCTTCTCTCACTCATGCCATACTTCTGAATCTGAAGATTCGATAATCCGGAGATCCGACAACCCCAAATTCAAAATTATTTTTAATTTCTATTTAGGTTTTGATTTCAAATTTTGATTTTGATTTGAGTGTAGGTTCTGATTTCAAATCAATACACAAGCAATCCAGGCGATTAAGTTTTTTGGTTCCAATATTTTGATTAGATCGTCTCGACCTAATCTGGTCGTCCCAATTCTTATCTTATGTACACCCTAATTTGTATATATGTTTGTAAATAAGTAAGGGTAATATAGTCGTTTTAACTACACCAAGGACCAAAAATATGACAAAAAAATAAATAACACATGGACCCTCAAATATATATGTAATTTACTCTTTAAATTGCCTAATTTCACAAAAATGATACAAAATTGGAAGTTGTGCTGTTATACTTATACCTCTTCAAAAAAATCATTAAAATAGAGTTTGCAAACCTAAAACCTTTTAACTTTTTACCGGATATAACAATAAAGCAGACAATTGTTGAATTTGAGCCGACATCGTCCAAATGTTGAACAAGGTAAAACCTCTCTTCATTATAAAATCAAATTAAACCACAATGACGAGAGAATGTAGATGTACACTAAACATGAATACTATACATAAACCTAATTAAACTAAACATGAATATTATACATAAACCTAATTAAAAAACTTTGTATTATACTTCACATGGTTCCATTCCAATTTTTTGTCCTACACCATCCACCATCTCACGCTGGGCAGGTGTGCTTACCCATACAAGACTATCGACATACTCCACAATTTTACCTTTGATTGGTTTTCCACGACAAAATTTCTCCAAGATTTTAGCCTTGCGTGAAGTTGGATTGTACAAAAGAATACGTAAATCACCATCTAAAATAAGAAACTCGTTGTGCGATGTGGATCCAAAAACCACATCACCAAGAAACATTGAGAAGACATGGCGTTTGACCCATGATTCAGCCACCCCATACTCCTCCATCACCCACACCTCACATACACCATCCGTGACCACCTCTGACATCACACAAATCTTTCCATCCAAAACTCCTAAAGCATTCGGGTGTTTGTTACTTGGTATCGAATCTGGAAGAGGTATCTGAGTGAATGTCTCTGAACCCAAATCAAATGCCACTATCGCATTTCTCTTCTCCCCCTCAGCAAAATACCCTAGCCAGTGAAGATGGCCATCATGCCCATCGGCACAAACGAAATCAATGTCAAAAATTCTTGTGACATCAGATGGAAACCTTTGAGTAATGAACTCCCATGAACCTTTTCTCATGCTATAAACCTCAACTTGCAGCCACTTTTTAACGAGATATGGTAAAATACTGGTGAGGCCTATAAGCTTGACAACTTTGTAATCTTCAGTTTTGGGATCAAACCCAAACCGGAAATGGATTTCATAATTATAGCGAGGGGGCTTAGAATGTGGTGGGAGAGTTGAAACCATGGAGAGAGAAGGGTTCCATATGTGAATGACATTGCCATAAGAAGAGCATATTAAGCCGTGAAAAGAACCAATAACTTTGATGATGCTAGCAGAATACTTGGATTTGGGATTAACCGGGGGGCGTTTGATGAGATTGGTGAGTTTGAGCTTAGGGGATCGAAATGGGTGTGTTGTGAATGGTTTAAGGTTAGAAGAAGAAGATATGTTGTTGTAGAAGACCAAAAGAGTTCGATCGTTGTTATTGATGGAATGATGGAGGTGGGATCTTATAAAGGAGGGGTGAGATAAGAGGGCGTTCCAAGATTTCGAGACACATCTCATTTGAGCAAGTTGTTTGGCCAATAAGCGGATGAATATATTTAATAGAAGATCACTCGAGAGGTTCTCCAGTGTTGGTGGATGTTGGATTTCCGATCTGCATCATCAGTATATAACACATCAGTAAAGTCACAACCAAAGAGTTAATAATAACAACGTAGGATTGCTCACTAACCTAGTAAAGGTTTTCCGTTTCCACATTTGTTCAAGCTCTGATATCCTAGTGGTAGCAGAATTCCAACTTTCGTCAGATACTCCAGTTGAGTTCTTCCGTTGAGGAAATCAAAAGTACGTCAAGATTACAATTTTTTGATCAGGATAAAACATTGAGACAGCAACATAGGATTACACATTACTAATCAACTCGTAAAGAAAAAACGTCCCCTCCATTTATTTTTGATAGTTAGTTGTAATGAGTCCATTCTAATATATGAAGTACACGACTAAAATGATTCAGGAAGCATACACTCAAATCACCAAAACAACTTACATGTCGCCCAGCCTCCTGAGAAACATTCTGAGGTTCTTCATTTATCTCTGGTCACATAAGAGCTTTTGTAAGGGGGCATGTACAACGTAAACAAAAAATTCTTATTCAAGTGAGGTAATACAAACGCTATTTATTCTTATGAATATCTTGAGTTTTAGACCACACAGAAACATCTACAGCAAGATTGACCCATACCCATTGCCTCTTATGATCGATTAAGATCGATTATTAGCATAGTCTATGTGATGGTTTGACCACATAACTATGATTATATTTCAGATTTATTTCTTTTGAGAATTACGCGCAACCTTTTGGTTTTCAGCTATTTACCTCATAAAAAGCAACCTATGTCTACTATAATCTCAATTTATTTAGTATTAAGCAAGATCTATATGTCCAAAGTACATACTTCCCCTGCTTTGAGCACTCTCAACACTAACAAAACTTTAAAAATATGCGCCTACGGACATTTCACCATGATAAGATTTCTACTCTCCCACAAATACTGCTCGCAATTCTTGTCATATCATTGCTATCTACTAATGAACTTGTACACATGCATGAGATCATGTCCTAGTCTATCACATAAAAATTTCACAATTTCTTGTTTCGATTGTCATGACTGCCTTTCTTGAAACATGCAGCAAGGAGTATTCGATCAATAGAAAACATGTCAAAAGCCTACGATGTAAAAAGAGATAAGCAATTCAATGATGCAAAGCAATGGTATCAACGAAAACGAAACTAAATCGTAATTGCAATTTGCATGACCTATGATATGGTCAAATCAGTGCGTTTCTACAAGAAGAAAACCTATTGATCAATTGAAAAAGATGCAAACGATCGTCCAATGAAACAAAGAAAAAACTAGTACCAGAAATAATTAATAATTGATCTGAGAGAAACAGTTTCGAACTTGGACGGAAGGCCCTCTTACCGTGCTTTTCTCCGGCTCCGCCACTTTTGTAGCGAGCCCTTCCGTTGCCCGCCGTCGCCATAGGTAAAACTGGAACTATCGAGGAGATGAATTACGTAGTCAGGAAGTTAGATATATAATTATACTAGCTAATGCCTGCGTGTTATCTTATGTATTTTGTATTTTCGTAAAAATATTACTTTATAAAATAAAATGTTCAATGCTTAAACCTTTATATTGTTCAATGCTTAAACCTTTATATTAAATTTTAATTTTTAATAGACTCGTATCTACTTCTACTCTACTCTAATAAATAAAGATATTTTAACAAACATGTCACACTTTCATTCAATTTTTCAAATATCATTTCGTGATTATTTTGAAATTGGATAAGTTCATCAATGAAATTCATATTCATTTACTATATTTAAGTTAGAAAGAAGGGAGTTCCAAACAAGACTGGATTGTGTGACACATGTCAAACGTCATGATCCATTCGAAATTAATTAAGGTATTCCAAAGAAAGCTCTAGTTTACAGTGTCAATTTGACAGAAGCCTGTTGGATCATGAACTATGAAAAAAAATTACAAACATTCCAACTAAACTGAAACTTGGTATTTAATAAATCCGGTTCAACTATGTTGGATTGTTGCCAAGTCATCTGTCCACATCAGCAAATCTTCAATGCCCAATAGGTAGCAACTTAAAGATTACCTAATTTTACAAAAAAAATAATAGCCGTAGATCACTCAGTTAAAACAAAAGAAAACAAGAAAGAAGAATCCAATGATTGCACGTTGCCTTTTCAAAACGTGAAATCAATAGCCGCATCTCATCTCACAGAAGGTGTCACCCAAACAAGACTATCCACATACTCCACGATTTTATTTGTACCAAATTTAGGACAATATTTCTCCAAAACTTTTTCCCTGTCAGCAATCGGATCATACAAAACAAGACAACGATCATCATCTTCAATAACAAACTCACTATGTGACGTGAATCCAAACGAAGGTGCACCATAACTAAACTGCAAAAACACATGACGTTTAACCCATGATTCAGCCACCCCATACTCCTCCATCACCCACACCTCACACACATCATCATCCGCCACCCATGTGATAAAACAAAGCTTTCCCGCCAAAACCCCTAACGGATAACACCCGTTGCAGTCTATCACAGCATCTGGAACCGGAAGAGTCATCTCACTAAATGTCTCTGATCCCAAATCAAATGCCACTATCATTAGTCGATCCCCCTCCTCACCAATATAACCAAGCCAATGAAGATGCCCATCATGCCCATCTACACAGACGTTTTCGGGTAAAAAAATCTCAGTGACACGCAATGGAAACTTTTGAGTGATGAATCGCCAAGAACCCTTTCGCATGCTATAAACTTCAACCTGCAACCACTCTTTTACAGGATATGGTAAGAGATCAGGTTGCCTGATGTGTGGTGCAGTAAGTCCTATAACCTTAACTACTTTGTAATCATCGGTTTTTGGATCAAACCCAAACTGGAAAAAGATTTCGTAAGGACCTCGGCTGGGTATGTAATGTGGGGGGAGAGTTAACACAGCTGAGAGAGAAGGGTTCCAAATTTGAATGCCATTATCGGAGTAACGAGAGCATATTAAACCATGAACAGAGCCAATAACACTGATCATGTCAGTAGTAGTATCTTCAGAATCGGGAATAACCGGGGGGAGTTTGATGAAATTGGTGAGTTCGTGATGGGGAAATCGACACGGGTGTATTGTGAAAGGTATAGGGTCAAGAGATAACAAGTTGTAGTAGAAAATCAAGAGAAATCGATCGTTGTTATTGATGGAATGATGGAGGTGAGATTTTATAAAGGAGGTTTGAGATAAGAGGGCATTCCATGATTTGGAGACGCATCTCATTTGAGCAAGTTGTTTTGCCAATAAACGGATGAATATTTTTAATAAAATATCACTAGGGAGATTCTCTAGTGTCGCTGGGCATTGTGGTGAATCCCTTGATCTTTTCGGATCTTGTCCAATGGAAAAATGGAAGTTATCAAGTGAACCATTTTTTGTTGATGCTTCATGTGGTAGAAGAGGAAGAGGAGGCATTCCTCCACCCTTTTCAACAAAAGTATTATCACCTGTAACAGCAGTATATAACACATCAGTAGTGACATACGCAAAATTTTCAAAGAATAAGGCACTAAAAATGGATATACTTTCAATATCAACATCAATTTACTTTTATGTTTGTGTTCTGAAAATATGGAATACACACGTTATTCATGAAATTAACCACCATAATGGGACATATATAATACAGAGACATCGAATTAAACAAAATCATTTTTAAAAGTCAAAAAAAAATCGAATTAAGCAACGATTCAACAAAATCGAAATCGGTAAGTTCTATTTCAAAGGACAATGATTCATACAAAATCGAAATCAGGGAAATATATTTAAACAAATTCAGAGATCGATTTTGCAGATTCTTAACAAAACAGCTTCACATATCCACAAATTCAAACTTACACAGTAACACAGATGAAAACGTCCAATTCTGAAAGATTACTCGAGTTCAAACTTCTGACTGGATAAGATTCAGAAAGAAATTAATCCAACTGGTGCAGTTAATCTCGAGTCTCATCTAAAAAACGTATGATTCAGAAATAAAACGGCAGCAGGTAACTTCTAATTGATGGTATTTCAGAAAAATGAAATCAAAAATAAGAAGAGAAAGAATTGGGTATACTGTACTTATGTTGGGAGAATTCAAAAAAAAAAAAAAAATCAGAAAAGACAAGTATAATTGATTATCTTGAACTAGAAATAGACATAGAAGAAAAAGAACTAACCGTTAGGGCGTTGGCTTCAGTTGTTGTTGTTTGGATTTTCCATGGTCATGGAATCGAAAATAAAAGAGGGCGCATAGGAAGTCGGAAACACAGTAGGTCAGCGCTCCTCCCGCTTCTTCATTTTTGGAGTGCCGTCTATAATCTTTGCAATATTGGGCCAAAATCTAGATTTAAAATTAATGGGTTTTCGTTAATAAAATCATCATTATAAAATTAATTAAAATTTTATATTAAAAAATTGAAATTATTAATTAATTATTTTAAATAAATTATTATTTAAGTTATATATTTTTATTTATTTAAAATTATAATTATTGATTTAATTAAATACGTGAAATTAAATCACATTATAATCTGTATTAATTTTATTTTATTTTTTAATTTAATGTTATTAATGTAATTAATGTAATATAATTAAAGTGAAAACTTTTAAAATGTAAAATTTAAAATGTATAATCAATTATTAATTTAATGTAATTAAAATGACAATTTTGAAATTTAAAATTTGAAATTGATAATTAATATGTTAACAAGTGTATGTGATATATAATATTAATAATGAGCTCTTATAGTATGACATTTATCAATAGGATAATAAACTTATTCATTTATTAAAATTAGAATATGGAGATGGAAATAACAATTATATATATATATATATATATATATATATATATATATATATATATATATATATATATATATATTCTCCTACTTTTTGTTCATACCAAACCTCATATTCATTTAATTGATAACATGTGTTATATTAATATATTAAAACATCATTAAATGAACATTAAATGTTATGTCACTATTTTTAAGATCCAAGTTTGTCCAAGCTCATGGATCGTCCTTGATCAAAACTAACAATTTAAATATAATTAGCATATCGTGATCGTTCAAAAATCCAAATTAGCACATGAATAGCTATTTTATTTTTCACATGTGGAAATATATAAGCAAACATTAATGAAATGTTTAAGAATATTATTGCACAAAGCAAGCAACTGGAAATGAGATAGTATGTTTAAGACAAAAGAAAGATCAAATGAAACTATTTCATCCAAAAAAACGTTTATATACACCTATTACGTCCACTCTTAAAGTCATCCTAACGAGCTTTCCTCCGACTCCAACGCTTTCGTATATAGCACTTACATCATCTTTCGACGCCATAAGGGAAGCTACAACTATCTATGAGATAAATTACGTAGAAAAAAAAGGTGAAAGGTGGGGATATAAGAGAAAAAGGGGATGAAAAGGGAAATTAGGGTTTTAAGGGTGTTTGGAATTTTGCTTTTAAAACATCATATTTATTTATTTTATTTTTTTTAAGTGAACAAGTTAAGAAGTGTTTACAAAACTAAAAAGCATTTTTGAAAATAATTTTTCTATAAACTTCAAAAAAGACTTATGATAAAATATGTAGAACCTAACTTTTTGAAATGTTTTTGGTTGTTTGATTCCACAAAGTATTACAATACCCTCATTTAACCTTATACTCATCTAACATTACACTCACATAACCATTTTTAGTCATTTTACATGTAGAAGCTAAGTCAAAACATGTAGCATCCTAAAAATCACGACAAATTTAAACTTCTAAAAACAACTCATAGTCACAAAAATTTTACAAAATCATTGTTTCCAAATTGTTTACCCATATCGGAGTATCAAAAAATCATAAGTCATAAATAGAGGATCTGCACAATCATGCTTTCGCATTCCCGTGATCATCCGAAGTACCTGAAACAACAACTAAAAATTGTAAGCCAAAGCTTAGTGAGTTCCCCTAAAGTACCAACACACAAACACAAACAAATAACATATACAAGAATATGTCGGGTCTAATCAACCATCGTGTTGGAATACCTTAGGCCCAATCAACCTCCGGGTCCAATCATCCTCAGGATGGAATACCCCAGGTTGGAATGCCAATATACAACAAATCCACTCAGTCATCGGACTAAAATACCCTCAGGCCCTCAGTACGATTCTGGCATGCCAAGTGGTGCTCATCTCGTATCCGGAATGCTCCTGAGCCCTTAGTATGAGTCTGGCATGCCAATCGGCCCTTAGCTCAAATATATAGAATGCTCCCGGGTTTGTTGGCTACATCACAAAGCAGTACAACCTCAACCCCAATACAGTATGTTGACATATAATAGATAACAACCATACGAAACATACAAATAATCATGCAGACAGAGTCACAGGTAGTCCTACAAATCTACCAGTCTAAGCATATCAGCAACTAGCATATAATGATGCAGATCGATCTCATACTCAGCATATCAATGTATAGCAGGATATCAATTTAATGGGTTGGCCTTGGTTCCTTCGACCCATAAGTATAGTGAGGAAAACTCACCTCACAGTCTGAACAAAGCTTATAAGGTCCCGACTCCGAATCTCAGCTCTAACCGACAGTTATTCATCCAGATGACCAATTCTCAACCACCATTCAAAATACCCAAAATACTCCTTGGTCAAAGTCAACTGAGTCAACTCATCCGAGTCAACATAGAGTGCGTACGCGGGGCATACTCGAGCATTGACCTCCATCAGGGTGGTTAACCACGTACACGCTGTGTACTCAAATTATGCAGGGTGTACACCCAATCTTCCTAAACTCTCATTAAGAGCTTAATGCCTTAAGATCTTACGTCCAACTTTCAAATCCAAGGCTAAATCATCCTCAAGAGTAATAAAGTTTCCAACTTTATGACTTTGCATGTTCATTAAGTGTTTAACTCAACATCTTAATACATTAAGACACTCTAAAGAATGCATGGAGCAAAACCAACCATTAAGACCTTATTTTTATCACTCGATACTCTTCATAAGGTTTGAAAGGACGTATTAAGGGGTCAAGAACATGCTATGCTCATGAAACACCACATTTGGGACAAAAAGAACCTAAAACTAAGCCAAAAACAAGATCTAAATGAAGCTTCACCAAGTTCAGAACTTTATACCTCTAAGTGATGCCAAATGAGGGTGTGTTTCTAGATCTAAAGTGCTTCACTCCTTTAAGATGGTATCTACTTTCCTTCCTTCTTCTTCAAAGGCACAAAACACACACACGCTGTGACATCCCCAAAATTACGGCCAGAAAAGACCGGTTTGTTTATGTTTTGTTTAAAAATTAGAGTAACATTTTAAATAAAAGTGTTGCGGAATTTGTTCCCAGAAAAATACGATAAATACGTTATCAAAACATTTTCGAAGAAACGTATTTTATTTATGTTAAAACGTTTGGGATGTCATCGTCAATACAGAAACATAAGCATAAACAGAACTTACATTTATTTACACTAGTGATCTACATCTCTTTAAATCTCTCAGTGTGACTTCATATCAATACATGTGATGTAAATAAACTGAGTGGGTCAGGTTGGGAAACCTGGTGAGTACATAGGGTTTTCATCCCACAATAATATAATTATTATGTTTAAATGATCAAACAATCAACCCATTTACCCATCCCCATTATCTTCTTTAATCTTAAGGATCTACCCTAATAATCAGCTATTTCTTGTTCATTTATTCCTAAGGGTTATCCTAAGGAATAGGCACGAAATCCATCGTTGCCAAGGTTTACTCAACGGGCACTAAATCCATAGTTCCCAAGGTTTATCTCGTCTATTGACAGTATCGTTTCTGAGACTCATCTCGCAATACAGGTCAATGGGTTTCATCTCGTTTATCGACGGTATCGTTTCCGAGACTCTATTCGCAATACATGTCGATGGGTTTTTAGAGTACACCTGGTGAACACACAGTTCAAAACACCTACAGGTTGCGAGACTGCTAGTGTCCACTGGACTGTCTACAATAGTCCGTGGTTGTCATCCATACTCTGCTGGATGACGGGGACATCAATTGGGAAAAAGGCTTCTCTCATGGTTTACCTCTCACCCTTACTTCATGGTCTATATCACCTCTTCCCCATTTTATTTTTGTCACACAGAAACTATTTCATCTACCCATGTTTTACCCAACACATTTTGTAGATATAAAATACATATACAGTTTAAATCGTTGAAAACATGTATAAAACGTTCATCCAGCATAGATAGCAAGTATACAGATAATATGCACACATAACACGTAATTTATATAAAATACTTCATATCTATGTGTAAGATGAAAGTAACTATGCACTCACCTGAGTAGGTGGTGACTCAGCACTCGGACAGCGCTTCGATACTCTCAAAACGATATTTCTTCGATAAAACCTAGTACCAATACCACTAGGGTTTAGTCTAACGATAACCGCGACAAATTAATTAGTATGACTATTATTAAGCGTTAATAATGCTCAATACAACTCATAATAATAGCCTGAATACTTATTTTAAGGATCTAATAACATTCCTATAATTATTTGAAAGCTATATTAAAAACTGCGTAAGCGTAGCACACTTACAGTGAATTTTATCGAAAACCGGAACTTAATTGGAGCAGCGTTTCGAAACCGAAAGGCTCTTTTTCTCGGGACTCTGGAAGCCTCGGGGCTTCCCTCGGGGGCTAGGGGTTTTATTTAGGGCTTAGGGGTGTTTAGAAACCCTAGAGAGAGAAAGATTTTAGAGAGAGAATGAGAAATGGTGTGTTTTGCTTGGCAACCCTCGGTTCTATTTATAGCCTCAGCAGCCTCGGTTACGCTGGGCGTAGTTCCGAGGTACGCAGGGCGTAGTTCGCATTGGGCTACCAGATGGCTTCGTACGACACACGCGTCGGACATCGGCTGGAGTTACGCGGCTTCTTGTGGACCGAGGGTGGCAGCTGTACGCAGCGCGTACTCAGCTTCGGACGCTGGGCGTAAGCGATACTTCGTGGCGATCATCAGATGCGAGGCGTGGTCAGCAAGCAACGGTCCAGATCATGCCACGTCATCGATTTAGCAACAGACTTCGCAAATTTCACTACAAACTTTAAAAATTCGAATCTTTCACATACGATCTCCGTTTTTAACGTTCTTTATATCCACGCGAAGGTGGGAACGTACTCTACAACTTTCGTTTAAACTCCGTCGGCTAATTTTGAATCGATTTTAAATTTTATATTATTAACATGTCGGGCATGATTGGTCCGTTAAATCCTCATAACTTCTTCATCCGACATCAGTTTTCGCCTATCTTTTTCTCGTTACGCTACTCTTAACGAGATCTTTAATTCTTGTTTAGGTCATGTTGGCTAAAAATCGCTCGATCAAATATTCGAATTTCGGGTTGTACACTGCTAGTCCGAAACTTCGAAAAATCATAACTTCTTCATACGAAGTCAGATTTGGGCGTTCTTTTTATCGATGTTCTTAGTTTAACATATTCTACCACTTTTGTTTAAATCGCTAAGGCTAAATCTCTCTCTATCGTAAATTCACTATTTACGCTTTCCGGTATCGTGCCGGTTCTGACGCGAAACTTCGACGGGTCATAACTTCTTCGTTATAACTCGGATTTCGGCGTTCTTTATATGCACGAAAACCTTGTAACATACTCTAAAACTTGGTTAAGATTATTTATTCTAAATAATATTTTGTCGAAAAGTCGTTTTCGACCCCTATTGCCTCTAATTCGACTAGCCCAGATCTACGGGCGTTACAATTATCTCCCCCTTAGGATGATTACATCCCAGAATCATCAACGAAACAGGGTCTTATAATGACTCCTTACGTCATCTCTTCATCCTAGGTAATAATTATAACTTCTTCATTCCTTCAAGTCTATCTCTTAAACTCATTGGTTGTAAGAGTATTCGATCGTGCACCTGCTCTCTCCCTCAAGCTAGACTCCCAATTATGACCTTCAAGTCACAATCTCGATCCTTACTGGATACGAACTTGAGATGATTTCTTTTATTACTAATATGGATCGATGTGTCATATTTTAATGACCTATCATCGTATGTTGCAACACTTAGACTTAGGTCTCTTAGAGTTAAATTTTAAAACAAGCTATGCCTTCCTTCATGTTCTAATGTGATATAATCACACTTTAACATTTGGCATTTCTAGCTATCAACTCCTTTAACAATGAGCGTGATATTTCTATTGATCGCTTTGATTTCAATCGTTTGGTTTAAGTCGGACGCTACATCAAACTTGGTTCTCTGAACCACACAACATACTCATTGTAGTCGGACTCGATTCGATATGACCACTAGGGTCGGAA